TATTCCGTTAAAGACGTTATTCGATGTGGAATAGAAACTCATTGGTGCTGTAAAAACGGACCTGTAACAGAGTTTACTTCAATTTAATTAAAATAAAAAGAAAAATATCAATTAACCATATCAAAAGCGTTAAACTTTTGTTATTTAAACAAGCAAATATAGTAAAACAATGATGTAAATTATTCTGTTACTGTTCGAGTGTTTAAAGTTTATTGTTTATATTTATAAAAAAAATATCTAAGAAACCATATTATTAAATTAGTTTTTTTTGTAATATTTAATAAGAGATGACAATTTTTTTAAGTAGATAATTGAAGTGTATTAAAGACGTGCTTGTTTATTTTTTGCGTAATCAATAATTACGGCGATATTTTTTTGTTGAAATGTCGATTGACGTCACACCTTTGTACATGTTCTATATAGTTGTGACTTCTTGTTAAATTGAAGCAAACAAAAAAATATATGAAAAATGTACGGATCAGAAATATAATTTCTATTATAATCATCAGAAATAGATTATAATCATCCCTACGGATCAATTCGAATAATATGGTGTTAATTTAAATAAGAATCAAAATATAAATTGTATCAAATCCATTGTCTTAACGTCTAATAATAGCACCATTTTCTGATTCACCAGCCAATTCCTTTGCATCCTGATCGGCGTATCGTAATGGCACACTATTTCTTGTTCCGCCCCACAGTACTGTTCTCAGAAGAAAATTACATTTTTTTCTTCGCCATTTCGCGCGCCGGCTTAGATTGTATTTTATCTTTATGCGAAATCATAATTCATGCCGTTTTTGCCTTCCACAGGAGGCTGTTAGGTGTTTAATGTTTTTGCTTCTATCTCAGCAACATGTAAATGTCGCACTCAACCATTGTTTATTGTTGTCGATAAGATTTGCAATTTCTGATATGGTTAATTGATGCTACTACTGAACTAGGCGTTAGAGTGTGAACGTACACTGTATCGGGAATCGTAATTAGAGCTGTGTGCTCAACAATGATTGTGAAACATTATTACTGTCGATTTTTATCTCAAACTGTAGGTTCTGACTGTACTGTTTGTTCTTCTATGTTGTGGTTGGTTTAGTATGACAGTTGTTGTTGTGTATGCTTTTTTTTTCAACAAAACTGAAGTATTTTAGTTTATTTATTTATAAAACGATTATAGGAAAATAAACTTTTTTACGACCATCAACTATTGTGGTTCAGTAAGCTCTGCTGTCAAAGATACAAATCGTTGACGTTTCCGTCTCACATATATGTGAGACATTACATATATTTTTTGTTTGATTGACTAATAAGACTATCTCACTAAACTAAACTTCCGCATTAGTCACAGCTTCTTCTGACAAATGAAATATTTATACTGGTTTAGTTCTTTAGATTCCGACACCTTAATTAAAATCAGAAGCACACCGAGAAATAGAAACTTGTTTACATATAGCATTTCGTAAGTCCGTGGCATTTAATCAGTTGGGACCTTTGCTGTGACCCCCAGCGCGCGGTCCGCTACCCACAAAACGAAATGATAAATGAAGAAGATCAGTAGTTGGCTTACATAAACGCTGATGGATTGATTGTGGAGCTGCGTACGCGCATCGATCGATTAGTTCCTGGCTGTGCCCGAGGCGAACTAACGGACGATTATCTTTAATGGATTTTGTAAACTTTCATTGGAATGTACACCCTAAAAAATGAAATTCGTCTTGTGCCTTAATTTCCTATTGGAGCAAGCTCACGTGTTAAACGGTTTGGTTTATGTATTTTTTTTAGATCTACTATCTTAAACACTCTTTGTTCATTATAGTGTAGGTAAATAAGGTTTGTTTATTTATTTTTATTTAATGCTTCAACAGTATAAATAGTGTTAAGATAGGCATAGCTTTTCATTTGTATTTTCTATATTTATCATGTATATCGAATGAAGTGTATGCATGAAAATATAAGAAGCATGTTCATTTCAGTCTATTTTTTTTTTATTAAGCAACTCTGTGAAAATAAATTGTATAATAATCACAAAGAGACGTGAGTTTGACTATATAACTGATTCAAATTAGTATACAAAAGTTAAAACTTAACAAACGACACTCGTTTATTTTCAAATGTCAATCAATAAAAAAGAATAAAAACTGAATTTAAAACCAGACCCCAGTAAGTACACCGTTCAGCGGTATCTAAAGTCAAATAACGAAAGATTAATTAAATAATATTCAATAAGCGTTGTTTGATTAACAAAAGCTCAATCAACGTCGGCATCTAACACAAATACTCTCGACGAGAAGTTTTCAATCACCATCATTCATTATTCACCTCCTTCCTTTAGCAGTTACCGAAGTACATTCAGGTTTTGTTTTATTTAACTTTCATATTTCTAAAGTCGAAGAAGTCGTGCAATACAATTATATTAATTGAATTGGTTAAAATCTTGTGATTATTTTTGAGATGAAGTTAATTTTGCTTTATTTTTTTATATGTTGAATTTTTAGATCTTTTTCTATATTAGAGTAATTCGTATTGATATTCTCAAAAATATATTAGATTAAAATAATTATCCATCATTACTTAATATTGATTGAACTTTATCTATAACGCGTAGCCTTTCATTTGGTGGAGTGCTCAAAAATATACGGTGAGTGCACTATATCAAATGCATCAAAAGTAGTTGTTATATTGTAATAACCATGAGTTCGTCAACCGTCAGATCCATTTTTTGTTGTCATTAGCTGACATGAAACAACTCTCGCCCGATCTGGTAGATCAGAGTGAGAGAGAAAATAAATTGTGTGAAAAATTACGATGATTACGTGTAATAACGGACGGCCGAGTCTTTGATGGACCCTGGTACGGATTGGCGTCATTAGTCGCAGCGATAGTGACCGAAAAGAGTAATTTCGTTTTCTTTGCTTGCCACTCTTTATTTGAAGCTTTCTAAATAATGTTTTTACTACTGTCTAACTCTTACATTATGCTAGTAACATGCCTTGGAATTACTGGATAATCTTTTGTAAAGGTCGAGTTAGAACTTAAAATAGCTACTTATTTTAAAATACAGCTTTAAACATAAATAAAGTAAATATATAATTTTTTATGTCTTTATAAATTAAACAACTGATCTTACTAGTCTCCTGATAAATTCCATACATAATTTTTCGTTAAAAATATTTGAATTAACGTATACCTTTCAAAATGAGAATTTAAAATAATGAAACCAATATCATTTTAAGTACGAGTATAGCATATAAAAATAATTATACGAAAACAACATTGACAGATGTCTCCTTGCGAACGTTAAGAAGTAGAAGCTGCAGTCATTAACCTTATTGCAGCTATAATGCATATTATTAATCTGATAGTATTTTAAAGACGTGTTCAACACGCTCACTTGACTGTTTTTATTGCATATCATTTCATAAAAGATAATAAATTACTTACATTTCAATAGTATTTATATCTGTAAAAACGCCTCTTTGAGTTCCATAAAATATATACTTCGGTCACAAAGGAATGAAAGTTCGTAATGGCATATTAAACTGGTTTATAAAAATCAATTATTAAATTAGGAAGTATATTAAATTGGTACTCAATATGTTATTGAATAATCTTAACCAATGAAAAACTTTAAGTGCCTCTTTACAGATACAATAATGATAAGCCAAACATACTTATCGAAATCCATCAAGTGCTTATCCATTCCCACAAAAGTCGGCTCATGATTTTCGGCAATCCCACTGAGAGTCCGGACTTCGGATATCAAACACCTTTCACTTCAAACAAACACTTATAAAGACAAACACGCCAAATGAATGTACAATGACCGCTTGTCGCTTGACCCTAAATCCGATGGCATTCAAGCATCTGACATTTAAGCCACTGAATGTCTCTTTGGCATATCAAGCAATTAAAACGACCGACCGACGGACGGTAAGCAGATGGCTGTCACTTTTATCAAACACATTAAACTGGTTGCTCGGATCGAACATTTATTTCCTTTTTTTTCCCCTGGCATAAAACCCTCTCGAACTCCGCTGAGATAACGAGTAATGTATTGGTGCCCTGTCGAATAATTAAACGTCCCTTTTTATATCGAGTTCAGTCGGAATTAAAGTGCTTTGTTACGGCACTAATTAAGCTTCTATAGCTTTTTTTATGATTTCACCGATGATTTCGATATTATTAAACGGTATTACGATCTGATGTCTGAAGAATCTAAATTTTACTTGCTTCAAACTTAAAAACTTTAACAACCTTTAGTAAAATTTATATCATCAGGATCTTTTTGTATAACACTATGCATTAAATTACAAAAATAAAAGTTAAATAAAAATTTGCTTTGTTACAATTTTTAGAAATCCACATTGAACTCAAAGCAAACGTGAACATAAAGCAAACGTGATCAAGATCTCAAATAGTTTAAGCCAAGGGTGTCCATTGCATTTCATAGAACAAAAAACCAATCGTTGTAAGCTCAACGCATTTCATTCTGCACGTCTAGGGAATGCCTTATTTGTCGTACCCAACTATATCTGAGCTGGCGACTTTTATAAATTATGAATCGTCAATATTTCTTGGAAGAAACACCACACTACAAAGTGCGGTCGCAAATCTAATTTACGACAGACGACTTGTGGGTTATTTTTACACTTTTCTACACAAATTATGGAATGTTCTTATTATAGAGGTATTACATTTGATGTTCGTCCATCGTGGTTCTTCTCAATGATAAAACAAATGATGCCAGGCATATTTTATGAAATATAGCACAAAAATACATATGATCCTTTGAATTCTATAACTTGTGCGCTATAATATCATATATACATACAATATGATATTAGTTTTCCAAGACCTATTTGACATTTTGTCACGCCTGTCCAGAGATACGCGTACATAAGATACCTTGTGACTCTTAGTTTTAATTTAGATCCAATTGATATTGTGTCTTGCATGATATAATAAAGTGGTTGAAACTGACTTGGAATGTTTGTTCACAGTTTGCGATGCCGAGACCCAGCGGGGAGTCATCGTGCCTGCAAGGCCCTGACTGTTTTATGGTAAGTACATACGTGGAAAAATAGTGGCCGTGCGGCTCCAACACGTGGATACGTGGTTAATGAATGCTTTGATGTGATTAATTATTAGAAACTGTGTCAAATTCAAATCAATGGTAAAAATAAATAAACATTATGACATTAATACAAACAAACCTAATAGCAGCAAAGTACTTAGAATTAAATTTGTGAAACAAGAATTCAAGTAACTAAATAGAGCAAAATATTATGCCAACCGCATATTGAAACACAAAACTAGAGACACTCAATTACAAAGAAATGAAATACGACCTCAACACTAAATAATATACGTAAATATAAATAATAAGATTATAATGATAGATGCGCTGATGAAAAATATTCTGGTAAATAGATATTATTTATATAATTTGGATTATAAAATATAGTCTTCATTTCACCCACCGCGACCACCGATATAATAGAAATTTCATAAATTATCAACTACACCTTGTAGACTTATCTACTTATTTTTAGCTCTAATTACTATCAACACTCAATAATAATTAAACGCAAACCATCGGGAATATATAATACAGCTTTAATATCAGATTTTTTTGAGTGTTAAGTCTCCAAAATGGAATATACTTCTTAATTTTGAACACAACTCACCCTATCGACATCCGCCAGTGAATGTAAGCCTCCTTATTGGGCTATAAAAGTAATCTTTCAAAGTTTCCGTCGAGTTGGCTTTGATGAATATACTCTTTACGGTAACCCCAAGCAAAGTACTCCAGTAATGAAACATTCGCTTCCTATAACGTTTTATGCCTTTGGCTCCACAACTTGAGCAGTAATCCCGTGATGAGCACTTAAGACTTTGCTATGTTTCAAGCGTTAAAATGTTAAATTGTATTCAGATTTACTGTTCTTCTCGGTGAACAGTGTTAATTTTAAGAACTCTCTTCGAAGCCACCTCACATAATGTTACGCTGCAGATGTTAATATTTATGTAGTGCTTTCATATTATTTGTTTTTAGTTTCGATATATAACACATTATCTATTCTTAATATTATCTGATCAAGGTGTTAAGCAATCATTATATAATTACTTCTAACCATTTTGTTATTCCTCATACAGATTAATTTTCAGTGTAGTAAGAAATTTTATATCAAATGTTAGTAATTTATTTAATACTGAAGCTTAAGTTATATGTAACATGCAATAAATAAATAATTATTATTAAAAAACCACGAAAGAGAAAGATATATTCAAGTAATTAAATTTTATGTTATATGCCTATAATAGCCTCACTTTGAATCTCTGAGAATTTGCTGGTGTCAAGCATATCCTGACTTCAAAGGCGTCATCTTGGCAGTGAGAAGTATTGTCAATATCAGTTATTAATTACAATGTGGGTGTTCCTTAGCTACGATTAACTTTACAATTTGCACTCGTATCACCTCTGTATCTTATCCACAAATAATGTCACCTAAGACTATAATATGTATCAGTTAATTAATCAAAACATGGCAACATTCAAGTTATTAGATGTTAATTGGCTTATTGTTATTAAAGCTCGATAACGCTTTAAAATGTTAAAGTAAAGAAATTTTGAAAGGGTTATTAGTTGGATGGGTGAAAAAAATACTACTTTAAGTCATATTTTTGGAAATCATGATAAGCTGTTATTTCCGGCAGCATCTGCAGTGTTAATACCCACCAATCCAATGGGCTGTGGCTAGTTCTTCCTATTTGATTTCATCTATGCAGAAGGCCTGTGTCTCTAGTGTTGGAGACATTAATTGTAATTTCTAAAGCCTCAACAAAGGCATTCTGCTTGTGTGTTTTAAACATGATATATTCTTTTTCCATTTTTAAAAGTAACCTACTTGGGTAACTATAATATTGGTGAATATATATATATAAGTTTATCAATTTTTACTTATTTTAGTAAACAACTTGATGTAGGACCTAAAATAAATACGTGATACTATGTGTTGTATCTGTATATATTCTATAATATGGATAATAAACAAGAATAATAATATGGTTACAATATTTTCTACAAAAAAAAATCGAATTACGTTACAAATTCATTAGTTATTGTAACGCAATTCGATTTATATTAATTCTTCTTATGGTTGAACATAGTAAGTTCATATTTAAAGGCTTGGAAGTATTAAAAGTACCGCTAAAATAATATATACCACTTGGATTAACATACAATTATATATGTTATAAAAATTTCATTACTGAAAAATATTTTGAGCATCGTAGATCCCGGAGCTGAGCCAGCTAATAATTATAAAGCATACCGAAGCGAAAAGGTGTCAAGTTAATGTCTACCCGAACTAATGACTGTTCTCAATGACAAATGCTGCATCTGAGTCGCCCGGAGCGAAATTCAGCTAGATGCGACCCATAACTCAGCGTAATTGAGAGAGGATAAATTGATAAATTTGTTTTTGGCTCTCAACGTTTTTGGCAAGTCTTTGTCAGCGATAAATAGCAACTGGAGCTCCTTTAGATTTTCGCCTCTAAGCTTATTTTTTTCAAGGTCATCACGTCCGATAGCTGAAATTTTAAAGTTGTTTCTCTGTTGAATTTTAATTTGTATCTTCTAACGTATTTGAATTATATTCTAATTAGTATCGTCATGCAAGATTTAGATATTTCACTTTCTATTTTTGGTAACATCCATACTGAGCTCATTATCGCCTATTTTTTTTTAAATTAAATTAGACTATTCTAGTTACGTTCTTATTGTAAGCTTCATACGTTAGCGCCATAATACAACTCCAAAAGCTTATGATAAACGATTTTGTGTAGCACTCAAGTCGCCACCCGTGTTGTGGCGTTGACTGATTCTAAAAAAAAAAACAGAAGACAACTCTTCGTTCGTTAATATTACTTTTTTAACAAATTGATGTACAATCTACTTCCCTAATGATCATTTATAATATAAATCATAATGTTTCGACTCGTTTAACTTTGATTTGCCGTAGTTTTGATTTAGTGTTTGTTGTTGCAGTGTTGGGAGAATTGTGAACTACTACAGTCCAACTATGAAGTCTGGGGAGCGGTCTGCGATGAAAAAGATATATGTGTGAGTATGCATATAATCAGCTTCAGTACTAATCAGAAAGTACTTTATAGTAAATTTTCGTAATAATTGTTCTACAAGAGCGTAGACCTTAAATTTTTCTCAATTATAAATTTTCATTTTTTCTATAATTTAACCTTTTTAACTTTTATAAATAAACACCAAACTGAATATCATTATTGACTACACATTTCGCCCTTAGTTTAAGTTTTTTGGAAACATATTTGCTAATTGTGTTGTTATTTCCAGTTCCCCGGCTGCAAAGTCGCGTGCGAATTTCACACGGAGGCAGCACGTGCATCTCAAACGCAACCCGTCATTCACACAAAAGGGGAAGGGGTCATGAGGGTTAGCGGAGCTCTCGCAAGGTGGCCTCCTCCTGCACCACGTGCGTCCTCTCACCCTGACCCACTCGTCTACGTCGTGATGCGTCGAGCTGCTGAAGGCCCCTGGCGACAAATCATACAAACACAATCCTTAGCTACCAGGGTACCATCAAACAACGAAGGCGCTCTCCTCAGAGTCCTTGTCGTAGACCCACAAGGCTTAGTCACAATCTATAGCCCTGACGAAACATGGGAGGCCCATGATACCAATTCATCAAACCACGATGAACATAAGTGGACCTTGAAAGAAATCTCGCTTATTCATCAAAAGGTTTTAGTTATTGGTGAAATTGCTTGGGAACCCAGAATAGTGAGAGGTGTATACCTCGTTACTTGGGAAGTTGATGGGGGTGGCCTAAAAGGAAACCTGTTTACAGATTCCACGCGAGTGACTTTATCTCTGTGGCCAGATACCATATATCATATACAAGTAGAATTGGTATCTCGAACGCCAGGAGTGGATAATGAAAAGTCAGAGACTATGACGATTGACACGAGTCGAGCTCAGCGTGTTTCTACTGAGAGCGTGCAGGATGTTCAAGTTAGTGAAGGAGATCGTCTTATGTCTGTTCTTGTCAGTTCCATGCGAGGAGAAAGGGTACCAGAGAGGGCTCCTGACTCAGAACTAGTACTAGGCTGCCTGTCAGCTATGATCGCATTTGGATTGGCGGTGCTTGCAGCCGTTTTATGGAGACGGAGACGACGAGGCACCTTTCCAGGGACCAATGTCTACGTAGGCTCATCCTCAGTGCTCAAACGAAAGTTAGTTGAGGATTTCGCGCCAGCTACACATTGCTTCCAGCCAGTCCTTGCTCCGGAAGTGCCAAATAGCGAAACTGTCCCACGGGACGTTGTCGTGTGACGTCACAGTTACGACATGCTGTCAGTGGAAGACCGCGCATACAGTTCCTAAATTGTCGGACTATATTATCGTGATTTAAACGCTATTTCCATGGTGAAATATTCACGTGTGATAAAATTAAAGTTCGAACAATTCAAAGTGTGTAGTAACAAGAGGTTATGATTTCTCATAACGAACGTTACGTGTTATGTTTTTATTAAAATAAACTTTTTGAACTCACTGTGAATGTAAATGCTACTGTACACCTAATGTGAATTTTTTGTATGTAGAGTTAGGGAGATGTAAATTGAGAAATGTTCTAATGTATTTATGAAAAACAGTAAGGTTAACACCAGAAAATTTAGTGATGTACATAATATTTGTGTTAAGAACAGAATAGTGAAAATAATTTTCTAAATTTAAAAAGCGGTTTATACAGCTTGTACATAACGGTTTATGATAATATGTGTACTACCATTAAGTTGTAACACGTGAAATTATGAACTATTCTTTTCATTTCTAAATGAAGATTTTTCTATGGAACCATGTTTTGTAGAACTATATGTATATTCATTACTAGAACTATTTTTACAACTAGTCCATACTACTGTTTAGTTAAAATTATAGCTGTTAGATATATTTTACTATTGATAGTTTTGACATGGAACTTATTCACTGTAGTAAACTTTACGATATCTTCAGCAATAAAACTTAAATGTATGTATTTGTAAATATTTGAAGCGTTTATTGTATAAATGAAAATAACAGAGAAATTATATTTTTCTTGGCCGCCAACATACATTCTTTTATATGTTACGAGTGATTGAGTGTAATTATATAAAAAAGAAGCAAATTTATTCAAGCTACAGAGCTATATTTGAATTAGTAGTAACTGTTTTTTAGCATATTTCATTGTAAGAATTAATTACATGATAATTAAAAAATATTGTTGTAATTATATTTGTTTGGAGTTGGTGTTAGATTTGAACGTACTTAAAATCTTGTTCGTGATTAAAGGCCAATAATAGTTTTGTGCTAAAAGTAACATATTCAGTTTGTGAACCAAAAGCCGCGTAGTGTAAGTTAGAGTTTTAAAGTTTAATTTATTTTCGTGATTTATCTTGTACCTTCACTCGAATTTGTAAATAATATTAAATGCTATAAATGGCGCTGAAATTTAACGAATATAAATAAACTTGTCTGCCAAATTATGATGGATTTTTATTTCTGTGAAACTCCTTTACAGAACGGCAAAGCAAACTTCAAAATTTATTCATAATTGTATGAAAATCCTATGGATCCTCTTTGATTTTTATCCAATTACAGTAAATTTTGACACAATTTATTTAATATGGATTTACTATAAACAGGCATGCAAATGCTACCTAAAAGAAGTCATTGCAATCATTCATTTAACGTTACGTGATATTAATTGCACATAAAATATCATAAATGTTTATGATACTTAGAATATTTACTTGTAATTTTAAATATTCAGCATTATTTTTTGTTATAGCATAACAACAAAACTGACACCCAAAATCACTACACTAAAAGCAATAACTTAAATATATCTCTTAAACAAATAACTGAGAGATTTAGCGTTTCGTTACTTAAAGGGACTCCGTTAGGTCCGCTGTCATTCACCCGCTCGGATAAAGCTCGACCATTGTCTAAGGATTAACGTCAACGAATTTGTTGTCAACAAACGCCTGATCAAACAAAAAGACTCGTGCGTCACAGACCCCACCAAACCCTTCGATCATTGTCATCAACCCGAGCGCATTTAATACTCAAATAACGCACCAGAGAATACATATATTAATAAATTCGGGTCCGTAAGAAACGGACAGAGAAAAAGTAATCGTAAATTCGGTCCTATCTCTTTAAAAGCCAATTACCAAGTTTGGGTTTCATTATATTGAGAAATCCATTAAGCTAATCGCCAAGTTGGGAGCCACCGACGTGACGTTTATGAAAAGGTTACTTCGGCATGCAAATGCGAAGGCATCTTAATGTAAATTACGTGTAAATGGAAGACAAAACTAACATTTTGAACCGAATGGATGACTACATCCACTGGCCACTATAACTCACCTTTCTTGATTAGATTAAAGCGTTTTGTTCGGTATTTAATATCGTTTGTATTGAGCGCGCTTATAAAGAGATCTAGTTTCTTTTGGAGTTATACTCTCTTTTCACATTAATTTTCATTAAGAAAAAAAAAGCTGTTTCGTTTTGGGCATCTATGATTATGGTAACATGCGGCCATTTATTTTAGTTACCCATTTTATTCTTGGCCCACGGTTCTGGTGTAAAGCATAGGATCGTAAATAACGAGGAAAATAGAAGGTGAACGCTTCCCAGAGTATCCTTTTGGGAGCGGCCAAAGCATTCTTTTAAGATTTATTACAGAACTTGAGCACATTACTTATTCCTTATGTGCCTCCGGTTCCGATAGTACGGTGAATGTAGACTTTTTTTTTGTTGTCGCTTGCTACCTTCCTCATTTGGGTTAATGAAAGATGCAGTGATTTAATACAACATCAGAAGTACATGGATTATAGAATGACGCTATGAGTTACAACTCGATTTTGACAACTATGAGTTGTCAAAATTAAGTTGTTCATCATCGAGCCACATGAAATGTAGTGTCGTATAAGTCCTATAGATTGCTAATGTGCTGAAACCTAATCTAAATAACACCTGCGTGACGTCATTTAAGGATAGAAAGTATAGATCAAGAATTTATTAATTATTGAAATATTAATGAATAATCCCCAAAACATTATGAAAATAACTTCATAACTCACAGTTTGTTAATTTATCGCATTTAATTATGGACAAAGTCAATCAACAACAAAACAAAATACATTTACTTTATTATATTTGGTCAATTTTGCATTTACGATAAAAAAAACTGAAAAATATTAAATATTTTTAAGAATATTTATCAGTATAGCATTGTGAATGCAAAACTAAGCAAATATAATAATTAGAACAATTGTTCACCTTTATCGAAAAAATTAAATATTTGTAAAAAAAATTTTTTTTTTGCTGTTTGTGTGTATTGTCTTAGCATTGATGAAAAAGTAACAAGCGCCTGTCCTGTTAAATCCTGAGTAGCTCAGCGGTTAGAGCAGTCACTCGAATTGTGAAAGATCATGGGTTTGAGTCCCATCACAGAGTGACAGAGACAAAGTGGATTCATTTCCATTAAGAACATTTAACATTTAATTTGTTATTACGCAAAATATTTTTAAACCATAGCCAAAAGTAATCATTAAATGAGAGAATCATAATAGCAGTTGCTACTTTAGACAACTACAACAAGTAACAACAAAACTTAATAATAACAACCGAAAACAAACAAAAAAAAAGATATGTGTGGTCTCAACACAACCCAACTCAATCAGTGTTTCTTTGTTAAGGGTACTGATTTTTGAAAGCAATAACATTATCAAAATGGCGGCCAGGCGCATTAGCAGTTTGCGGGGATTATACTTATAAGAAGAAAGTATAGAGATACAAATATTCAAAATATAATAATATCTGCATCATATGACCTATACACTACAGATGAAGGAATCCCCAAGTGAACAGCATGCACAACAGGTGATTATATGCAATTACAAAATAAACTATTGTCGTGACGAACAAAGACAATTGATGGCAAATTTATAAACCTAATTTTCAAAAGTTAAATGCTTTCCTAGCACACCTGTTTCCTCTCACCTAAATATTGTGTTCTTCAAAGAGAGCGCGTAGAAATTGGAGACTGTAACTAAAAGAGAACTTAGCAGCCCCGTTTCATTAAAAGTCTTAACTTTGTTTCTGAACAAAGCTTTCGAAGAATTAGAACCTATAACTATATTTTCTTCAAATATAATAATTTAACCTATTCAATTCAGCACGATATACATCAACTACTGATTTATCATTCATTCAAATGAGCCCTATTTCGGTTCGCTCGTTTTTTATATGTCTCAAAATGAATTTTCATTGTTTTAAGTAGGCAGATATTAGTATTATATATATTTTTTTTAATGCAATCAATTACACTTCAATCACTATGTTTATAACAACTGAACTGTAAGACTGAATCTCACTACTATAGCTACAGAAACCTGGAGATAAAATCATTTGAAGAAAATTTGTTCACTCTAACAAATTATTACACATCACCATCAACAGAATAGGTAGAGTGGCCATAACCCACCACGCTTACCCAGCGTGGATTGGTGGGTGTTAACGATAGACAGACAGTAGCAGATGCACGAGCTCGGGATAGTAAATTTTTTGGCCGCTTATGACCGGCCTTAGTGAAAGTTTCTTAATAAGCGTATCGCAAACCGAGCGCATACCACTGTGCCATCGAGCACTTTTCGAATAAAACACATACATATACAACATTTTTATTAAAATTTCAATATTAAATTTTGACAAACTTAATATAAAAAAATAGGGAGGTTTCTCAATTCCATTGCAAAGTAACAATATTACCTATGTATGTCGATGTCGCATAAGCTTCATAACTTTTAACACTTTATATGCTGGCCGAATACCAAACAAAAAATTCGACTGCCATTGGACACCATTCAAACGCCATTGTATTAGTGAAATTGGACCTCCGATATGTAACGAACTCCAATAAGACAAATTTTAAAGATTACAATTGATGCCTTAATGTTCCTTTGTTCGTATTTAGATGTGAAAATGAAGCATGTTAAACAAAAACAGTATGTTAAGCGACATAACATCGCATACTCGTAATAATGTTTAAATAAAAACCAAGTGTGATATTCAAAGGGGCGACAGTCACAAATTTAAGCTATGTTGATAAGCAAGCAACACAAGAAATCTAGTTATTTAAATTAAAGTTATCTAAATAGGGATGCAATGCAAATGTGTGGGACAGCCTTTCTTGTTAACGACCTCAAAGACAAGAATCTTTCACAATAGTAGATACAATCGCGAGTTATGCCTCAGGGAACTCTCATGGGCCCGATAAGCTATATACGTCGCATAAAATTAACTTGGAGATTGAAAACGAGAGGAGGTTGCTACAATTTATTGGTATTTACGATTCCTTTACTAAATGCGACGTTACTGTTGTCTGATTACCACTGTCATTATGATATTTGAAACTTAATAATAACTACGACCTCCGTAGCCGAGTGGTTTGCACGCTGGTTTTAAGGTGTTGCCACTTCTGAGGTTCCAGGTTCGATTTCCGGTCGGGTCAGTGTAGAAAATGAAGTTTTCTATATTGTCTCGGGACTGGGTGTTGTTGGACCTTCATTGTCTCAGATACTCCATAATACGGAGGCTTTAACTACTCGTCTTGGAATCTGACTCATGTACAGATGTTGTTTAATATTTAATAAAATTTATTCAACTATTAAACAAACGATACGGCGTGATAAAAAAAAATAACACTCATAAATGGTAAAAATATATTTCTTGAATATTTTAATTGGCTTTTTTTTGATAATAAACAACATCAGAGTACATATGATAAAAGTACATCAAAGCAACGCTGATAGATTTCATTTCTGTTTGAAAATGTACTCGTAAACGAAAACAATAAATTCTATTACCATCGATAAATAAATTCGAACATCTAAAGAATCAGTCTACAATTACACCCCCAAAAGTTCGAACATAAGACGAATTTGGAACAAGCGTTCAAACATAATTCAATTAAGAAACAAAAACAAAACAATCGATTCAGTTCCCGTTGAACAACGCAGAACAGACGTTCAAAGTCGATTGGATTAATTGAAAACAATTAATATTCGTTGCCGGCAACGATTACAACAATTGTTGAAGATAAATA